AGTATCTTAGCTGTGAGAGAGACGCAAACGCTTTCTCTTCAATTATAATTATTTGGTTGTAGTCAAGATACCTGGAGGAAGGGAAAGAAGTAAATGAACACGAAATCACCAAATATTTAGTTATATTGTATGTCCTTTCTGCAAAGCAAAAGGCAACAGTCATAGTAGGTTTATAAAAGAGGTTGTGGTTTGTTATCATGGCGAGTACACTTAATAGAGTAAAGTTGTTAGTCTTACGATTGAGTCACGTCAAAAATGGATAACAACATGTCGGCTGCAAAAGGCTGGCAGTGTGCAATCGAAACGTGGTAATCCACATCATAGGGCAACGACTGAAAATTCACCACATAACTCTGATTATATTACGTATGGCAAGAAAAGATCTGTTCACAAAAATTTTCTTTACTGAAAAGAGAATAAATTATAAACAAGTGATTACTGATTTCGAAACTATGCGTGAAGGTGCTTGACACCCGCCACACACATGGAGCTTCTCCCTGTAGGTGGAGCCAACTTTTCTCCAACATTTGAGACGTCTATACGCAAGCTAGCGCGCAGGCTAGTTTTTGGTTCTTGTCTTAGTTACTAAGACTTTTTCCCAGGTTCTACGGTTTTCCTCCTTCTAGAAAAGTTGAGAAAGGAAGTTGAGAGGATCGCCCTACTTACAGATGAGTTAAGCGTGTTGTGCGTTTAAATACATCCCTCTTAATATGACGAATACTGTTAGATCGCAGGCTTCTAAAAAATAAAATGAAAATAGAAATTTTCACAAAAAGTAAAACAGAGATTCACTTCATTTTAATAAGAAACTTTTTTCACGCCACTCACAAGATTCGTAAGTCTGTCAAATTGTCGAAAACGCCTTCTTGAAGGTCAACAAGAAGATTTTCACCAATATCTCTGTAAGACACAAAAAAAACCGTTTTTGTATTTTTAATTTTACGTTGCAGTCTCTTAAATAGGCTAGAGTTTAGGCATCTCTGCCGAATATATATTTGATTGGCTGACAATGAAATTGTGCATCCCACATTGAGAGCGAATCACCATCAGTCAATTTATGCTTTTCTAAGTATGTAGACCAATCGGTAGAGTTGTCTGAGTATTTAATTGATGTAATTTGTCTTCTATAACACTTTTTATCATTATTTTCCATTTCAATGATTAAGTTATGTTTCAGCATTGTCACATTATATACTTACAAGTATTGAAGCTTAGTTGTTTCACTAAAGACGTCACTGTTAAGTTGCCTCAAGAAATTATTGTTGAGTCTCCTATGTTATGATGTAAGCAAAAGAAAAAGTTATTCAGGTTCGTCTGGACTTCACCAGAGAACTCGTTGACAAAAAATTATGTCCTCTACGTTTTAAGTGATTAGCTTTCGTCTCTAAACTTTCCATGTATCACTCTATTTAAACGGGTTCTGTATAAGAGCTGTACCGGAGGGTTTTTTTGGTGTACTTTCGTTTAGGTATATTTATGTAGTATGAATGATCTACATTACAACAAAAATTTATTACAAACTTATTAAACGCACGGGCATAAATTCACTGAATGTAAACTTAATAACTGCCTACTCCCTGAAAGCTGACTCACCCAGTAGGAAGTAGGAAGGACGGGGAGGCTAGATTACAACTACAACGAATGAGTCCGGAAGCAAGAACTCACGTGATACTAGCAAATCATTGGGGGTCCCAGTGTCCGTTGTTAGCTTTCAATTTTATTGTTAACTTTTCTCCCAATACTGACACTACATCTTGAGCAAATGGAATTGTGCATGACTAAAAATTTTGTGAATCCTTTCCCATCGCTTATACATATTTTCCGAGTAGTTAAATATATTTCGGAGTTTGATCTTCAGTCTTGAAGAACCGACAGACGTGACTATACTACTCTTCACGGTCAAGCACTTCCACAAGTTACGATTATAGGATAATTTCTGAGCAACTTACAACGTTTCCAGAGATTTTAAACTTTCAAATGTTCTAGATTCCATTTGAAAAACTTTGTTGTGGCTTAAATCCCTGAAACAAAAGAGAGAGATAGTTGATTGATGCGTACTTCACATCCCTTTATATCCTTATATCTCTTTATATACTTCCTATTTGGCATAATTAAGAGAGATTCGGTTGCATTTTATTAATGAAGACACTTTGTGATGCGTCTCATACGAAGAAGAATCTTCTCGATGGTTGTTAAAACTTTAAAAAAGATTCAAAGCAAACTCTGTTGACTTACATGTAGGTAAGAGATGACAGAGAGTAAAAGTCTCTGTTCCTTAGGCGAGTGATTTTGCTGCCAGCAAATAAACTGGAAGAGAGTAAGGAATATATATCACCTCATTTTACTCAAGGTTTTATGGCGGGTACGGTCGTTGAGAACGTTTGGAAAGACAATTCGTGGTCACCATGTGTAGGACCAATCTCCGGGGAAACGCCCTCCATATAACTTACCAAAAGGAGTTTATCACACTTACAATTTAAAGGTTCTTTCGTAGTAATGAAAAAAAACTAGCAGTCTAGCTTTGCAATTTTTTATAAAGGCCCCCATTTAAAACAGGATTAGAGCTGAACTAGGTCAGTCTTTGACTAAATCTCGTAAATAAACAAATTAATAAACAACAAGCTTCAAAGGAAGTCAGAGGAAAAGTGATTTTCTCACTTTGGCACCAATTTACTCTGAAGCTTCAATTTACCCGCAAAATTAAAAACAGGATGATCATCACCCCCAAAAAATATTAATTCAAATGTTCTTTTCAAATGGCCATAAATACGTGCACATGAAGTGCATATGCACCAATGGAAGCCACAACGAAACCATCGGCTGGACGGTTTACCATATTCTCGTACTTAAAGAGCTTAGCTAACGCGCTGTGCGTGCCGGGCTCCGCTATGTGTCTTCACAAATGGTACTATTTTCCCCTAACAATGTGCGGCAAGCCCATTTTCTGTAAATTTAAAACTGTGTAAATTTTCTGTAAATTTAAATTTTTTTATCTTGCAAATCACGTCGGTGTTCGAGGCAATCAACTGTTGCTTTTTTAAAGAATCGTCTGTATTGCATGAATTGTGTTAGGCCGGGAAGTAACCCAATCTATTCATCAAAGCCTGGAAAGGAAACTATCCAAAGTGTATTTTAGCGGCTAAATTCACTTTGAACTTAATGACGAAAAAAAGAATTTAATTTAAGGATCGACCAAGCAGTTTCATTTTTGTTTCAGATGATCTCAACTCATAACGCATTGTGACCTTGCTAACAATGTTAGCAGTGGAAACTAATCATGGTTAGTTGGCATTTGCCTCTAAACTTCTCTTTTAGTCGAAGGTATTCCTGCATCGCTAGGTAGGTTATCCTAAGTATATCATCTTGCAAATGTGAATAAGTAATTTTTTTTATTCAGACGAAACGCAAACGCTTTCATGTTGGTAAAGCTGTGCCAGTTGCATCAATCGAACAATTTCGCTGAATATATGCAGGCAGATATTTTGGCACTAAAAAGCTTTGTATCACAAACGAGTAAAAAAAAATCCTTTAACGCCGACAAACTGTTTTCACGTTAACATTTTCAATTCCCCTAATACGCCATTTAAATCTATTTTCACCTCGCTAGCTTATCCCTTTCTTTTCGTCTTCACACAAGAATGAAAAGCTATGTGCCGCATTCCGCATTCCTAAGATCCTTTATTACAAACAAGCAGCAAGGACTGGTGTAGAGGTCTTTCCCGCAACTTACAGTGTTTTACGCTGACTACTAAGTGCGAGAGGAACTGAGACGAGCCTAAAGCATCATCAAATGTCATGAGATGTAAATTTTTCTTAAAGCTAGACATAACAGGATGGCAGATTTTTAGGAATGAACCCTTTGATTCGACTGTACTTCACGCAGCGAAGTTTTTTAGTTTAATTCTTTAATTTTTTATTTTTTTTTAATATTATTTTCTAGGACAAACGTGAATTTGAGTAGTTCTTTAATTGAATTATATTTGCCAGTTTTTTTATATTTACCAATGTCTTCAAAATAAGTAATGAAATTTTCCAAGCTATCCGTTATCTGCTGAGATAACTATGGCGTGGTACAAAAACTGTGCTATAAGAAATTTTGAAAGTTCGATTGAAAAACGTGTCAACCAATTATCCAGCGGATTGAAGACATATTAACAATTAGCGTTTAAGCCGACGAAACAGAACAGACTTCATGCTTAGAAATAAGTGCGCTGTAAAAAAAAAAATACGGCAAATGAAGTTCCGCTAATGGGGTCAAATGGACCATTTCAGAGTTCTCACGACGCAGCTCATATCGAAAATAAGGCTAAGTGTAAGACCTTTCTTGTTAAATGAGCTATATTTACAGAACAATTAAAAATCATTTTTAAATCACAGGTTTCGTTCGTTTAAAAGCAGAAGCTTTAATTTATGTATCTCGAAGATGACCTTAAAGACGTGAGAACTTTCCAATTTGAACGAACTGTACATTTTTCTGAATGAAAAAAAAAAGGGAATCATCTCGCGGAGACAGAAGAGATGTCTTATGAGGGAGTGGAATATTTTGATTCTTCTACACTCGTAGCAAACGCTATACATCTTTGGTTATTCTGCCTCATAGCTTTCTCAAGCTCAATACCTATTACTAGTCCAAAGGTATTATTTCCAGCCTTTTGGTCTTGTATTTCGTTGCTCTATCAATGAAGAGATGGATACAAGCAGGTACGGCCTATCTTATCCACTTTAGGTGCTTCGTTTGCGTCCATGTGGTTTTTCGTTTTTCTTAAGCTTTCATTAAAAAGAAAAATTGTGACGCTGCATTGTCACAGATGTCTCTTTGAATAAAAATAAAAGAGGAGACATTCCGCCCATTAAATATTGATTTTACCCTACAAGTACTGCATTTTCTCGATCAAATTTCCTGTGCGGCACTCATACCTGTTCATATTCAAACTAAGCCTCTTGACAGAAGTGACATGCGAATAAATTATTTAAACACTGCGAACAATTAACTAAATGAAATCTACACATGCAAAAATTATTATTTATATTTCTTTTTCATTTTCCCTTCCCTTTTTCATCTTATTTGATTTACCTGTTAATCGATTCATTCACCTGTTTTGTTTTCTTCCTTCAAAAACTTTAATAGACAGCAAAATGTTCCACGTTTGTAATGAGTTATAGAATATAAATAAGCTAAGCTTTATTTATAAAGCGGTTAACCTTAGAAAAACAGTTGAGCTGCGCCTTTGACGGGTACTACTTTTCAATTTGGTTTATCAGCTGGTCGAGTTGACAATGTAAACTGGCCACCATAAAGAGTTCGTGAAGCTGGCTTTTCAAGCGTTAACCCTCTGTCAGAGCGAATAGCGAAGGGCAAACGCCCAAAACGTCAGCGGGGACCGATTTACAAAACTAAGTCAGTCGATAAAAGCAAATTATCTCAGCTTTAGTTCGACAATCGTTTGTTAATGGTGTGATTTTTCGTTTCCAAGCGAATACTCCGCTCACTTGCAGGTATCCTTTGACTGTTGAGAAATGACGGAATTTGTCTTAAGCCACTCCTGTACTTACTGTTGAAGATGA